AGTGCATTAATGTACCCATTTCCCTCCATGCCCTCCTGCACTTGACTTTTCTGATAGGTGTGAGGTGGTTTCTCAGAGTTGTTTTAATTTGCATTTCTCTAATCAATACTGATTTAGAACATTTTTTGATATGACTAGTCATTAAATAGTCATTAATCATGTATTAAACATTTACCTTAATGATTAAGTGGAAGAAGTTAAAAGAATGAATTTATTTTGTCTATGTCCTGTGTCAAGGGCGGGTTTATTTGATCTCATTCTAATCATATACATATATAAACACAGATATACCTTCCCCACCATATATAGATATCCATCAAAGCCATGCTATGTATGTATTGTCATGTTGATCCATATTCTCAACAAGTCCTGTAGTCTCATTGAAGCACAACCTCTAGAAGCTTCTTCCAACCTGGAAAAACTTTGAATATAGGCCAGTGTCTGTCACTTGTGGGACTTGCCTATACAAGGGCCAGTCTGTTGTTTGTCCTTCATTCTCAAAGAGGACCATAACATCAGGAAGATGATGCAATGACTTGCAAGTGAATTGAATTTAAATGGGGGAGGGCTCTGTAAGGTCACCAGCCTCATTTTCAACTCTGGAGCCATCTGGGTCCAGTGGCAAGATATAGATTAGGACGACTGAAGATGGCCCCCACACATGGACAAAGTCATTGTCAAAAAGGGTGGCCATTAGATGATGAATTTCTTCTTCAGCTACAGAAGCAGCTCACGAAGGTTATCTATCTCATGAAGGATCAGGAAGGCTGTGAGACAGAGGAAGAATGAAGGAAGGAAGGAAGGAAAGAAATGTGGGAAAAGAGAGAAAAAGACAGAGACACAGAGAGAGACAGAGAGGGGAGGAAGGGAGAGAGAGAGAGAAAGAATGATTCCATGAATCCAGGAAGAAAGAGTGCCAAATGCAACAGATGGGTCTAGAACAAGATTCCTTCATTTTTTTTTTTTTTTTGCACCATGGACCCCTGAGGTAGTCTGCTAAAACCTATGGACCACTTCTCAGAACTTAAAAAAAAAATCATAATTAAAGAAATGCTAATTTTTAGTTAGAGGTTAATGAAAATAATGATTTATATGTATGCATTCATATGTATGTATATATAATATATGCATGTCTAACACTATATATACATATGCATATATACGTGTGTATATATATATATATATATATTTTTTTTTTTTTCCCGTCCAATTAATGGAACTCCTGAAATCTATCCTTGGACTTTAGGGATGTCAGTGGATCTAGGGTTAAAAACCCCTGGTGTAGAAGAATGACTGAAAAAGAATATCAGATTTGGCAATTAAGAGTATAAGTTGTAAAATTATTGCTAATCTGCATCAGTAGAGGGAATTATGTCAGTAGTAGTTACTCATAACAGTCAGTCATTTAGTCAATAAGTATTCATTTATTAAATGGCTACCACATTTTAGATACTGTGCTAATGGTGACTTTCATTTTATTTATGTGTTTTACGTAGAAAGATGATAGTCAGTCAACAGACACTTATTAAGTGCCTATGATGTACCCATTACTATGTTAAGCACTGGAAATATACAAAAAGACAAAAGACAGTACCTGCCCTCAAAGAACTCACAGTCTAATGGGGAAGATGAAAAGTATATATACATATATATACATATGTATATACACACACATATACACACAAACAAGTTATATACAGCATAAATCAGAAATAATTAAGAAACAGAAGGCACTAAAATTAAGAGGGATTGAGAGAAGTTACCTGTAAAAGACAGGGTTTTAGTTGGGACTTAAAGGGGATACCACAATTGATACAGTGTCACCCCTAGAGTCAGGACAACCTGAGTTCAAATCTGGCCTCAGACTCTTATTAGCTGTGTAACCTTGGGTGTTTCTTAACCCTGTTTGCCTCAGTTTCTTCATCTGTAAAATGAGCTGGAGAAGGAAATGACAAACCACTCCAGTATCTTTGCCAAGAAAACCCCATTGGAGTCATAAAGAGTCAGACATGACTAATTAACTAAACAACAACAACAACAAAAGGGAGCCAGGGAAGCCAATAAGAAGAGATGAGGAAGGAGAGCAGTCAAGGCATGGAGGCCAGTCAGAGAAAATGCCTAGAGCCAAGAGATGGAGTGTCTTGTTCATGATATAGCAAGGAGGCTAGTACCATTGGATTGAAGAATCTATGGAAGTGAGTAGAATGTAAGAAAATTGGAAAGGTAGGAAGAAACTAGATTATGAAGGGTTTTGAACAGTAAAAAGAGGAATTTGTATTTCATCTTTGATTCTGGAGGTGGTAGGGAACCATTAGAGTTTAGATAGATGGATTGATCAATCAATAGATATACATATACACTCATATGTGTATATATAATATACAAATATATACATATATATATAATTATTTCCATTTTATAGGTGGCCATAGGATCACAGGATCATAGAGAAGCTGTATGGTGGTAGATTAAGTACTGAATGTGGAGTCAGGAATACCTGGGTTCAAATACTATTTCTAACTGGATAATTTACTTAACATCTCTGAGCCTCAGTTTCTTTATCTGTGAAATGAAAGGGTTGGCCTAAATGGCTTCTAAGGCCCCTTCCAATTCCAAATCTATGATCCTATTATACAGACAGACAGATTGGGGAGGGGCGACAGGAGAGAAAGATAGAGAAAGACAGACACAGAGACAGAGAGAGACAGAGACAGAGACAGAGACATAGAGAGACTGGACCTGTAATTTCATTCTTAGGTTAAGAATTTCTCTACAACTTAGAGAGTTACGTAAAGAACTATTAGTTTAAATCACTTGCCCAGGGTTACATAGCCAGGACTTGTACTTGAACTCAGTTTTTCTTGTTTTTCTCTATATTCACTATACCACATTGTGTCTCATTTTATTTATGTGTCTGCATGTGTATTTTTGGTGTACATATGTATACACGCACAGTAGATTCCTTCATAACAAGATGTGTATATGTGCACCCACACATATATACCTACGTAAAAAAGTATTTATGCAAATTTATTTTACTTATTTAATGGTTACTCTATCCTATCGTGAATATTTCCCCAATCTAGTACAGTTATACTTTTCAGCTAGAGGTGTGACCATTCATGGAATCAAGAGGGTTATTGCAGTCCAAGAGTGGACTTTGGGTTGGCTATCAAGGAGTTCTCGTATAGAGAATTCATTATTTTGCTTGTAAGAGAATTAAATCCTTTTTTACAACTGTGTCTTGCTATACTGAGCTCAAAGGTTACACCCTGCACAGGTGAAATCACAATGGATTTGATAGTAGTTCTCCAAGCAAGAGATGGGGTTGATCTTCAGTGAAATTCTAACCACTAAGCCACTATAGTCATTTTTCCGGGACAGGATATAACAAAACCAGACCCTGATTCAAACTCAACTTTAAATCTGAAAAGGGAAATAATTCACTCAGTGGTGATGGACAACAACCACCTAGATTAGAACCTAGATTAGAAGCTAGGACAATGAAGCTATAAAAAGAAAAACTCCTTCCATAGAGAGACCAATTCTATCTAAATTCAGAAAGTTAACATTACAAGTCACTGATGTCCACTGATTTCTTTCCAGAGATAGGCCAGGGTGCCCACTAATACATGTACTCATTTGCCAGTGATACTATTTATCAAAGGTATTAAAGAGAGATGAGAATCAAAAAGAAAAAATAGAAGCAAACAGAAGTTTTTTTAGTTATTCTAATTTTGAAATTCATTCTATTTTCTATAAAAGAATCTCATATACAAGATATGAAGTTTTCATATTTATAAATGAAATATACAACTTTATTTTTGTTATACAGAATATACAGCATTGTAGTTGTATGTCAAAAGCAGGTTTTAATATGAGTCTAAATAGAAGTAACTATAGTCTGGACCTAATGTCTTTATTGCAAAAGTGTTCCTGTAACAATGGACTCTAAATCCTATAAAAAGGGACAATGTACAAAGAGTTTCTTTTCAGCAAGTACTAATAACTGATAGTTTTTTTATAATCATAATTAACTTTAGCAGTTGCACATGCACGGGTTAAAAATGAGGGTGTTTAACTATTTCTATACATGAGTAAAAAGGCCACTGTCATTTCCCATGTTTTATACAATGGTTCTGCCTTCTGTAATCTCTAAATGTGTTATTTCTAATAAGAGTTTTCTATTAATAATGAATTTGCTTTAAGGTAGATTATTCCTTATTCTGGTGGTTAGCCAATAGTCCTCTTCTGGTAAGGCTAAGGCACAGAGGGGTTAAGTGATTTGCAGGTCAGGGGGAAACACAGAATTAAGAGAAAGGTGTCCTCGCTCTCAATCTTTTATTAAAGCAAAAGTGGCAACTTTTTATTCTTGTATCCAGAGCTAGTTCCAAGAGCTATGTCTCCAGATGGAGAGTTAAGAGCACAGTATGAGCTGGCAATGCTGTTTTACTCTTATGTCTAGTTGATAACTTCCAAATCACAGATGGGTATGGGCTACTGAAGCAGGAGATCTTCTGGTCTTCTGCTCTGAGTCCTCCTTTTACCTGTATCTAAATGCCCAGTTTCCAAGACAGGCCCAGGTTCAGCCCCCATACATTTAGTGAATGCTCAGTAGTCTCCTAATATCTTAAAGCAGAAACCAAGCTCTTTTCCCTCCATTCTATGGATACATGTCAGTTACCACTTTGATTTAAGGGGCATTTGGCCTGGAATGCTGACCGCTGTTATATTTAACAGCTGAAAAGCACTAAACTATCTTGTTTGAAGCAATACATGTTCATTTATGTGAAGAGTTAGCTGCATACCTTCAAACAGAATGAATAGTTTTCCCCCACTCCCATCTTTATATTATCTATTTTAACCAAGGGTATCACCCAATGTTTAGATAAATAGCAGCATTTTTAGAGTAATGACTAAAGAAATATCCTTATAATATAATATCAGTTGGCAAAGAAAAGAATCTCTATCAATGTTACTATGGCCAGTTTTTTTTTTTCCTCCCATGACCCACAGAGATGCTGAGGAAAATAATCTCATGCTTATAAACATGTTCATTAGAGTGGTCGGTCCTCCATATGGTACAGACAGTTATATTTGTATGGAGCTTTATTATACAAAAATATTTGACGATTATTTAACAACACTTCGCCAAAATAAGCTACCTGTGTTGTCTGGAGGTTTTACAACTAGCTCAAATAAATACTTAAGCAACTCAAGGGCTTAACCACAGTAATGTAAGTATAAAAATAGAATATAATATTTAGTTGAAGCTAAGTTTGTAACTTAGTGTCTCTGGGTCTCTCCATAGGCAGAGAGATAGGCAGATATGCTTATCATAATCACCTAAAACCCCTCCTTTTCTTGGTCCTCATTTGGTTCAGCATGATCTCATGGCACAGACCCACCTTCAAAATAACAAATATTTTAGCAGCTTGTTATACCATTAGATCCATCTGAACTCGATCTTCTCTTAAAGCATCTCAGCTGATCCTCTACCTTCTCTGTCACTCAAAACTTCACCTCTCCTGCTGTGGAGCTCCCAGACTCATTTGGGATGTCCAGAGAGAAGTCTTCCTCTGGCGAAGTAGCAAATCCTTACCAAGCTCTGTCAGGTGAGTGGAAACTTTAGGGAAATGAGAAAGTTCTAAGCAGTCCGTGATCTGTTCTGTGTATCCTCCATCTCAGGGGAAGTTTTCACTCTGGGGAAGAAAGAAAAGACCAAACAGAATTATCAGTGCCAGGACCTTGCAAACATTTGAATGCCAAATCATTAGGGTACCAAGTTCCTTCTTTGGTTTTGTGACAGTCTTTCCACTTTAAAAGAACTAGTCGGACCTTCTAAAAAAATGGAAAAGGAAAATGTACCAGTCACTTCTTTGTAACTAAATTTTTAAAAATACTTTTTTTATATCTTACAACTTTTACTTGGCATTCAAGGCCGTCTATAATCTGTTGCCACCATCTTCTTCTAGCTAGTAGTCAAACTGGACTACTAAATATATTTTGTTCTCTCTATGCGTTTGCTATTCCCTATGCCAGGACTGGTCTCTTCTCCTATTGAATGCCTTTCCATCCTCTAAAGACCAACTTAAATGCCACCTCGTATAGGAAATCTTTCTTGATCTCTTCCCCAACTGGTGACCACCTTTCCTCTTCAGAACTAATAGAAATCTGTTTTGCTATTTTCTAATGGATTTACCATATTACATTGGATATTAAAGCTATCTGTGTTTGCATTTTATCTTGCACCTAAATTGTGAGTTCCATGAGGGCAGACAATATGACCTATGCAAATTTTTAGCTCTATACACAGAATGTATTTAGTAATTTCTTTTTTAATGAATGAATCCTTTCATGTAATTTCTCAGGCTATTCAATTTCAAAAGCACTCAATATAAATACATCATTTATCAAATGATTACCATATGCAAGCATCTCTCTCCCCTTTACCACCTCAGTGGGCCTTGGGGTTTAAGCTTGTAGTCACCCTAAAGATTTATGGAAAATGAAAAGAAGGATTTTGAGTATTAAACTAGTCACTGGTAAGACTTAAAAATTTGAAAACTACAATTCACAAAAAGCAAGGTAACATCTGAGGACATACAGGAGCCACCATTTTCAAAGACCTCAGAGGGCCTCATAAGCTTTATTAGATGACATGCATGCCTACCTGATTACTGCTGGGTTTCAAGACTGGGATAAAGGGGAAGGGAGAAAAAAGGCTAGATTCGATTCCTTGGTTGCCTATCTCATTTTTGTTCTGTGTTCTCATTGCAGTTGTTGCAGATGTTGAGACCATAAAAACTGGCCTGTGGTTAGATTGTAAGTAGAGTGTTGTATTAAGAGAAAAGTTTCAGAAGATGTAGCATAAAGCTCTCGACCAGAAGTTAGCTTGTTAGGGTTGCGTGGCAATTTTTGCTTCACAAAGTCAGCTAGGGGAGGGGCCGATCTCTAATTTAAGTTCATGGAAAACTGCTGATTACTACTCCCTCCTCACAACTTTTTTTTAACCCTGAACTGAGGTAGCATGGAGTATGGATAGAGAGTTGGCTTCAAGTCAGAAAGACCTGGGTTCAAAACCTGCCTCTGATGGCATTATAGCTGTATGACCCTGAGCAAATTACCCAATCTCTCAGTGCCTTAGGCAACTTTCTTTTCTTTTTTTTTGTTTTTGCTTTTTGGTGAGGCAATTGGGGTTAAGTAACTTGCCCAGGGTCACACAGCTAGTAATTGTCCAGCATCTGAGGCTGGATTTGAACTCAGGTCCTCCTGACTCCAAGGCCAGAGCTCTATCTACTGGGTCACCTAGATGCCCCAGACAACTTTGTAGGACTGTAAATTACAGAGAATGTGGTTCTCTCCATTGATGAAATCACAAGTTCCCTTTTTACACCTCAAAAGGCAACAACAACAACAAAACTCTAAACTAATCAAATAATTGATTGAATAATAGATTTTGAAGATATTAGTTTGTTCAAAGCAGGCTCAAGTCACTTGGATAGTCTAGCTAAAAATAATGGAATAGGATTCCAATTCTACTTTTGTTGGGCATTGGTATGAGGACCATGATTAAGAGTGAGGTGGATAGAATTTGTATTGTGCCATGAGATATTAAATTACTGGACCAGCAATAAAGCAAAGACCTTAAACTTACAAAATGTGTATTTTATAGTCCTTATTAAAAAAAAAACTATGTGATACCAAATAAAGGTATAAAATCAAGGCATTAGTGAATGATGCTGAAGAGCTGCAGCAGCCCAACCAATAGGAACCTTGGAGAATGATACTTTCTTTCTCCCTGGTCATGGCCTTGGAGCCTACTGATACTTGAAAATGGTGGGATCTATGTTCAAATGTTACCCTGCTTTTTGTGGATTGGCCATATGGTTGTGGTTTTTAATATCTCGTGAATATTAGTAGTGACTATATCATTATTTAATGGTCTTTTCATTTTCATGAGTGCTTTGGGGTGACTGCAAGCAGAAAATTCCATAGCCCACTGAAGGAAGATATTTACACATAGTAGCCATTAATGAACATTTGTTGAGTTGTTTTTGAACACTGGTGAACTAAATTGGCTTTGAAATTATGTGAAAACATTCATTCCACAAACATTTATTCAGCACCTATCGCTAAGCTTTAGATTTTCCCCAATTTATCAAATTAAAACTGACAGATGGGAGAACAACTGGAATAAAAAACAATTACCAAGATTTAAAAATGTTTTTATGCCATAAGAAATGATAAAAGGGACAGAGGCAGGAGAAACTTGGGAAGACTTGAATGAACCGATTCAGAGTGAAGTGAGAAGAACCAGGAGAACAAATTATACACTAATAATATTGTAAAGAGTTAAGAATTCTGATCAATGGTCCTTTCCAAAGGACCAATGATGAAGCATGCTGTCTGTCTCCTGACAGAGATGATGGACTCCTGGTGCAGAAGGAGACATACGTTTATGTATCTTATCAACATGTAGACTTTTTTATTTTTTTTTTTTTTGCTTGACTGTTGTTATTCATTACAAGGGTTCTTCTTTTCTTTTCTTTTTCCAATGGGAGAATTTTGTGGAGAAAGAGGGGCTAATGGCTAAGTTTTTCCTCCATCCCACAAAAAATTGATCATTGAAATATTTAAAATAAAATGCACAAAAGAAAATGGAAGGAAGTTCCAAAGGAAAAATACATATAGGACATCTTAGAATTTAACATGTTAAATTTATAGTATGCTTTTTACAAAAGCTGTGTGTAACAAAGATTCATGGTCTCATATACAAACTTTTTCTGTCTGTTTTATATATGGAAATGTTCTTTTGGGTGGTATTTAAGTGCTGAATAAAATGTTAAAGAACAAAATAAAATAAAATGAATACAACTTCCCACTGCTCCCCTCTCCCCCCCCCCAAGGGAATAGTGTAACTCCTAATCTCTTGCCTATTATTCATGGCTAACTAAAATAAATATATCTAACTTCTATGATTCTTTAGTGATTCTCTAGTTCTGATGTTTTGTGGATATATCAAAAATAGAAGCAACCATATTTTTACCACTAAAGATATTTATAAACCTAACTGTTTTCCCAAGCTAGAAATCATTTAGGGCTATAAGTATCAAAACCTCTACCTCCTTTGAGGAATACGGCATCCAATTAAATAATTCCACTCTCCTACTTAAGAAGCCTCTGAACATACGCACAGGCACATACTCTCTCTCTCTCTCTCTCTCTCTCTCTCTCTCTCTCTCTCTCTCTCTGCCTCTCTCTCTCCTTAGCTTCTCTGAATTTTTAAAGTAAGATCCAAGGACAGTCCGATGTGAATTATACAAGTACTCCTACCAAAGAGAGGTTGGGGGAGGGGTAGAGATCCTGTTTGTAATGCGCTGGTCAGATAGAAGGAATGGGTTTCATGAACTAGTCATTCCAGTGGAGAAAGTCTTTGTTTACTTTCCAGGTTGCAAACAGTATTTTCCTGCTGCCACAATTGTTGCTTCACTTCCTGTGTTGCTCCATAGTCCTGGAGGCTTAGCTGCTTAGAGAGTATTTAGTCTCTCTGTTGGCTCATCTTCTGAAGAGTCCATTATGTTTGTAGGCCATGAGTTATAGGAGGTGGTTTTGTGGTCATGAACAAAGATTATTGCATTGCTTTTTCCATGCCCTTAATGTGGTGGAGAAGAGCTGGCATCGCTCTAGTGCTTTAAACTTGGCAGAGAGTTTTTACATGTCATTTCATTCAAGCTTCACTACTACCCATCAAGGTAGGTGTTATGTTCCCCATTTCATAGGTGCAGAAACTGAGGCTTAGAGAGATTAAGTGACTTGCCCAACATCACACAGCTAATAAAAATCTTCAGAGGAATTCTAAAACAGGTATTCATCATTCCAAGACAGCCAGGTGACCCAGTGTATAGAGAGCTGGGTCTGGAGTCAGGAAGATGTGAAATAAAATCTGGCCTCAGATATGTGACCCTGGGCAAGTCACTTAACCTCTGTTTGTCTCAATTTCCTCAACCTTAAAAGGGGAATAATACCTATTCCAGGGCTTTATTGTGAGGATCAAATGATGTGTTTGTAAAGAGCTTAGCACAGTGCCTGGTTTGTAGTAGATGCTTAATAAATGCTTGTTCCTTCCCCCCCTCCCCATTTCTCTATTTATAATGTTGTGTTGCTCTCTCATCTTTCCCAATGCTATGGCACCAATAAATGGGATCACAGATCTAGAATTGCAAGGAATCTTTCATTGTTCAGTCATGTCCCACTCTTCATGACCTTTGGGGTTCTCTTGGCAAAGGTACTTTAGTGGTTTGCCATTTCCTTCTCCAGCTTATTTTACAGATGAAGAAACTGAAGAAAATAGGATTAAACAACTTGCTCAAGGTCACACAGCTAGTAAGTATCCAAGTCTAGATTTGAACTCAGGAAGATGAGTCTTCCTGATTCCCAGCTCAATCCACTATACCATCTAGCTGTCCAAGGAATCTTGGAGATCATTTAGTCCAAATCCTTCATTTCACAGATGAAGAAACTGAAACCCAAAGAAGTTAAGCAGCTTGCCCCCAAATTATACAGGTAGTAAGGGCCACAGTATCATAGTTCTAGATTTGGAAAGGACTTCAGAAGATATCTAGCCCAACCTCCTCATTTTACAAATGTATAAACTGAGGCACAGATAAGTTAAGTGATTTTTTTCCCCCATGGGGGAGCTGGGATTTGAACCCAGACTCTCTGACTCCAAATCCAATGCTATTCCCATCATACTTGGAGCTAGCTACTAGGTGGTCAGGGATCTCATCCCTGTCCTGAGCCTAATGGATCATTTGTGTCCCAGATTAGTCCTTTGGGGAAGTATGATATAGTTTAAAAAATGTTAGATTTGGAGTCAAGAGTCTTGGGCTCAGTTCTTTTCCTTAATACTTTTTAGCTACATGCCCACAGATGACTAAGTCATTAAACCCCTCTAAATCACAGGTTCCATCTCTGTAAAACACGGTTAAAGACCTGCCTCACAGGGATATTGTAGAAAAAGTAGTTTATAAATGTTAAAACACTAAATAAATGTGAGTTACTATTAAGACTGACATTTATTATGGCAAACTTTGTATATTGTGTCCCCCTCATCAACTTTCTCTTCATGCTGACATAAAACAACTTTGAAGGTGAGCAAAATCCTTCCCAGCACTGACTAAAGGTTGAGGGAAACAGAGAAAGGCTAGTGAGTGAATTTAAGTGCCTCAGATTCTTTGTATAAACTCATAACCCTGTGCCTCCATCCCCTCCCATAAATCAGGTGACATTATTGTTTTCCTTTGGCCAGAGGGAGGAGAGAGAGGTAGTCAACTCTGAAACCACGTGCTTCTGTCACACAGGTGACAGCCTTCACCGCCCAAGCAAACTTCCTGTATTTGCTCCTAGTTTGAAAAGTAAAGCAAGCTTTGGAAAGATTACTTCATGAAAGGAATTAGATCATTCCTTGCAAATCACTGTTTTGGCACTGAGGGGGGAGTGGGGAAAGGAAGTACTATCATTCCAGAGGCTCTCAGATTTTATTTCTGTGAATTCAAGTGTCCTTTTCTGATCTGTACTGCTTAATATTCAAACATGACTCCATCTTATCTGTTCAAAAGCAAAGCAAAATTCAATTTGACATAGCTTCTAGGTGATCTCGGGTTTAGGCCTTTCTAGGAAATTAGCTTTTCTGTTTATCTTTTACATAGTGCATTAGGCGGTATTTTTTTTTTTAAAGGACTTTCAATATGATTCACCCTTTATTCGTATTTAGGCTTATTCCACTGATCATAAAGATCCTAGGACTCTGTTGGGCCTTGTCTAATATGCATGAACAAAAGAGCCTTTCCAATTTGGCTACTCTTAACCCTCCACCATCCAACCTTCCCCTGTATGCATGCATGCACATACTTTCCCAGGCTTCTAAAGGCCCAGATTCTACCTCTCTCTTTAAAGTCCACCTGAAGTTTGTGAGAAATAATGTTAATCCAATGAGATCCTCTCTGCTCTTGAAGGACTCAGGGGAAGATGTGTTTCAATAGAAAGAGACAGAGGCATCAGTTTAAAGTTTTGGTCCCCAGCAGAATTGTACAAAGTCCAGTTCTCCTGGGAATACCCAGCCCTGAGTCTTTGTTTTGTTTTGTTTTTTTTTTTTTTTTGGTATATTGTGGTGGCAAGAGAGGAGTTGGTATGTGTATAGTGGTGCATTGCTGTAGTTACTGGGGTAAACTATTACATCAACAAATAGAGCCCTTGAAATTCATCCCAGCTGCCCAAAAGGGAAGGATTGGCCTCTTGCATAAGAATTAGAGAATGTTAGAACTAGAATAAACCCTAGAGATCATCTATTCTTATCACCATCACCCTCTCCTATTTCAGGAGAGAAAACTCTCCAGCCCTGAAATTTAAAGTGACTTGCCTAAGGTCACAAAAATTAAAAAGCATCAAAGACAGTGTTAAATCTATTCTTCTAACATTACGTCTAGTAGGTTTTCCTCCAGACCGTACTGATTCTAAATAGCTAGAAGATAATTATATAGGTACATAGGTAGACAGACAGACAGATAGATAGATAGATAGATAGATAGATAGATAGATAGATAAAGCTGGAAGAAGTCTCAGGGTGCTTAAATGACTTGCCCCAAATCACCCAGCAAATTAGTGGCAAGGCCCAAACTAAAACCCAGCTTTCCTGATTCCTAGATCTTTTCATGGGATGTGACAGCTCATGCTGATGGCCTGGAGATGCTGCTGGGTATTACAACTGAGAAGATCGGATCCCTTCTTAGTGTATTGTTGAATTTGATACACTAAATCCTGTCAACAGAAGAACCAAATGTAGCAAGTGCTTCTCTCAAAGTATCACCTGTCATAGTTTCCAGGCTTAGAGATTTTTGTTTTGTTTTGTTTTAAATTTAGACTACTATAAACCTGGCTACATACATACTGTGCAACCTTCCATTTGAAAGCAAAGTGATTCCTCTCAAAGTCTAGATTTCTTTGAAAACAGCCAATTAGCCAAAATTTAGAGTTGGAAACGACCTTAGAAGCCATCTAGTCCTTATATTCCAAATGAGAATGAGCCTAATTTAATAAAGTTCTGAAAAAAAAAAACTAATTTTAAAGTTGATATTTTTTTCACAGGTGGAGAAACAAAATACTAAATCAGAAAACATTTAGACTCCATCTGAAAACCTGTGAGTCAATTTAAATAAGGTTTATCCCAGTAAATTCTTCCTTAGGTACTTTGACAAGTGTTGAAAACCAGCCCAATCTATCCCAGACAATTTCAATTCAAGCCTAGAAGAAAGGTAATTTGTTTCTTAATCAGGGACCCATGGCCTGTCCTTTTGGCACAACCTTCACAGGGAGGGAAAGATCCCTCATCTGCCCAGTAAAGCCAGGTGAGCGCAGGTATACTTAGAATGTTCTACTGAAGCCTTAGAATAACCTCTAGGCTGTTTTATGGTTCTTTTCACCTGTGATCCAGGAAAGGTGTGCCAGTTATAAAGCAGGAAACAACAGGAAGTATACCAATGTTTTTAAACTGGGCCTGATTTAAGACAATAACCCTGGAGAAATCTCCATTTGGAGACTTCTGGAACCTAGCCAGATGTCATCCTGTCCTCCCCCTGCACACCAATACCCTAGTTTCATTTCTAGCAGTCCCAAACTATTTCTCAGTTTTCATTACTACAGATTACTGGACTGATTACTTTTATTTCCTTATCCAGCATTAATAAAACAAATTACGCCTAGGTATCTATTTTAGAAGTTCATCACAAAAACTCAGTAAAATGAAGGGGTTGGACTAGATGGTCTCTCCATCTCTTCCAGCTCCAGATCCATGATACTATGAAATGTCTTGTGTTCTCATCAACAGTTATCAAATTCAGCCACATTCCCGTCCCAAGTGCATCATAAGGCCCTCCTTCCCACTCCCCCTTTCCAATGCATGCACATTGGATTGTTATTTCTGCCTTGGCCTGAGACGCACCTTGGTTTTACCGTGTTTCCTTGGCGTTGGGAACCAGCACCTTTCCAGCTAAGTCCTGGGCCCTCTTGCTTTCTGCCTCTTTGGCATTTTTACATGTATACAGCCACTTGATAATCCGAGCATTGCGTTCAATCACTGATGTGGTGCTAGGGACCTGCTCCGTTAGCTCTTCTTCCTGCAGCCCCTCATCCCCACTGTGATGGGAGAAGCCACCCTCAGAGGTGGCTATGCTCACACTGCGGATCTTAAAGGATCTGTGGTCCCACCCTGCTGAGAAGTTTTCCATCCCAAGATCTTCCACCACCTCAGGGTCCAGGCCGCAGTATTTAAAGAAGGTGTCAAACTCAGAGAAGGATTTGGAGTAGCGAGAGCTTATGTCAGATTTGGAGCGGTGCAGGCCCCTTCTCTTCACATCCCTGAGCTCACCTGTCATCACAGGTGCTGTCATGGGCATCTTGTCCTCATTGGAAGGGGCAACAAGGGGGGTTGAGGGATTGGGGGGAGCAGTGTCCTTGTTGTCTACTTTGACCTCCTTGTTCTCCATTCTGGCCTCCTCACTCTGCAATCTCACCTCCTTAAGATCCATTCTGGTCTCTTTACTTTCCATTCTGGTCTCTTCTCCATCCAGTCTGGTCTCTTTAATCTCTGGTTTGGCTTCTTTGCCCTCTAGTCCGGCTTCCTCACTTTCTACTTTGGCTTCCTCTTTCACTTTGGGCATGTCAGGAGACACTAACATCTTTTCTTTGTTGGGACCCTGGAGGATCTTTCTCACCAAGCTCCCTCTTGCATTCTCAGTGCCTTGGCCTTTGACAAACTCACACTTCTGACGATAGATGATGAGGGAATCTGGCCTCAGTTGCCTCCTGCTAATGCCTCTCCGGGCCACAGAAAGTGCTGCCTGGGGAGTGGGGCACCAGGTGTCCTCACTCTCTGCCTCTTTTCTCCCTGTTGAGTACTTGCTGCTTTTTCTGCTTTCCACAGAACAGGTTTCACTACTGCTCTCTGAAGCTGAGCTCAGCCTGGCAGGCTCCTGCTTGGTGCCAATTACCTGCTGGCTTTTGACATATTTGGCCTTATCCGCTGCTAGTCTCTCCACAGCACTCTTTTTGGCCCGGTCTCCCCCTTCGATCTTCCTGCGCAGGTATTCTGGACCCTTGTGGAGTAGCCGGGTCGTTGGGGAGGAATTCAGGTCGGAGAGGGCATACATTCCCAGGCTAGGAGCAAGCTCAGTTGGCATGTCAGTTTTGGGTGGCTGGAACTCAGGGCAGAAAAACGCAAGAGACTGGGGTTAGGGCAGCCTCCCACATCAATGTCCTGGGAGCTCAGTCCAGTTCCAAAGTCCCTGCTCGACTGATTAGTGCTGGAGGAGGGGCAGAAACTCCAAGCTCTCTAAGCATGAGTCTGTGCTGTCTACAAACACCAACTCCACACCTTTACCGGCAGCTCGCAGCCTTTCAGGATACCTTGCCAGCGAACCCAGCCCTCCTGGCTCACAGCAGCCAATCATGAGTGAGTGGGGTTGTCTGACAGTGCGGGGCCAACTGCTCTGCTGCCTCCAGGGAAGACAAGCCCTAATTAAAGTATTTGCTTAGCATATGTTATCAACAGACTTCTCTTCTTTTGCCACATTTTAAAAGAAAAATAAAACCAAACCAAAAATTGAGAAGCCTCATGGAGGTTAGTATGCCTCATCCTAGAGACTGAAATTTTTAGGGGGGAGGGAAAAAGAAGGGAGAGGAGGGGAGAGGAGAGGAGAGGAGAAGGGTGTTGCTATGATGGAAAGATTTCATGGATTTAAAGTCAGGAAAGTGAGGTTGTAGTCCATCCTTTGCCAATAACTAGCTATGTGACCTTTGACAAGTTACTTAACCTCTCTGGATTGCAATATTACCTTTACTAAAATGAAAGGGTTGAACTAGATGTTCTTGCAAGTCCCTCATTTATGGTTAATGAGTCTGTGGACCAGGGGTACTGGTAAGAATACTGGCAGGGTGTCAAGAGACCTGAGTTCTAGTCTCTGGTCTCCCAATAGCTGGAAAAGTGAAGCACCATTTCTCTAAGCCACAGTAACTCTTCCCTGACTAACCTTCCTACTTAGTTACATGCAGAATCTGACTATCTCTAAAGCCTTGTTTAATTCTATGTCCTAGGAACTTCTGCTTTGTGTTTTTCAAAAATAAATTCTGTCTTAAAAGTTTTCAAATAATTTTTACAAGATATTTAGCTATGGATAATCTGTAGTGGATTACCTACCCTGCAGGTAGATGACATAGTATATATAGAACTGGGCCTGGAAATCAGGAAGACTTGAGTTCAAATCTAGCCTCAGACACTTACTAGCTGTGTGACCCTGGTTGTCACTTAACTTCTGTCTGCCTCAGTCCAACCATTCTAGGAAACAATTTGTAACTATATCCCCAAAATGGGGATAGTAATAGCACCTGTCTCCCAGGGCTATTGTGAGAATCAAATGAGATAATGTTTGTAAAGCACTTAGTACAGTACCTTGTACAGGCACTTAACAGATGCTTGTTTCCTTTCTACTTTCCCATTTGGAGTCAGGAGCTCTGAGTGCTAGTCCTAGTTCTGCAGGTAACTAATAATTTGATTTGGGAAAGTCATAGTGCTTTAGACTTGGAAGGGACCTTAGAGATAAATATTTCATCTTGATTCAGTTTATAGGTAAGCAGGGCGAGATCTAGGGGGATTAAGTTACTTTTCCCATGTCACGTAGCTACTAACAGCACCTCTACAAGTATTTAGGTGACAAGGCTTTCAGTTCAGCATTTTTTGCTCTACAGATCACTTACCTGTTCTGTATTTCAGTGTTCCCATTAACAACTGAGGATAATAATAGTAGCCCCTAGCATCCACACGTGACTATTGATAGGGTTAAATAAAATAATTTATGTAACACAACTTTGAAAGGTATAAAGTCCTATATAAATACTATCATTATAATTGTTATGGTTCAGTCTCAGAAAGGGAAAAAAATGTGTTCATAAAACTAAGGAAGGAATGAGAATGCAGATATTCACAAGATGAAACATACATAAAAGGTATTTGCAAAATTCCATTCTTTTCTAAGGTTGCATAAATGACTTCAAAACTATGCCAGGCATCTGAAGGTCCAAGTTATTTCTTACTTTACTGAAAATGCCAGGAACATCCTGACCTTTCAAAGGTTCCAAGTGAGTACTTTTTCCTTAAGGAGACTAAAATAGCAGGTGGGGCAACAAGATCAGAACGCATATCAAGGCAGCCCAATTATTCTTTTCCTGTCCTGTATCTCAATTCCAAGAAAATATATCATGAATCCAATAATCATTGAAGTTGAACAGCATTCAAAAATTGGGGTGTGGATGGAATAGGTCAATTCATGTACAATAGATGATGTTAGGTTGTTTTTAATTCTGTCAAAAAGAATGGGTAATTCATAGACTCATAAAATTTTAGACCTAGAAGGAACCCTTAGACCCTATCTAATTCAGCTCTCTCATTTTGTAGATCAGGATACTGAGGTCAGGAGAATCCTGGATAATGAGTCAGAATATTTAGGTTTGAATCCAATGTCTTCCATTTATTAGCTATACTAACTTGGATGAGGTTCAGAGAATCTTAGAGTTGCAAGAGATCATAGAGGTTACCTAGGCCAGCTGCTTTCTCGACACAAATCTCCACTGAATCCACAACAAATCATCAGGAGAATTGGTCCAATCATTCTAGAAAACAATTAGTAACTATATTCCTCAAAGTCATTTAACTATTCATACCCCCTGACCCATATTAAGCATATACCTCAAAGAGGTCAAAAGAAGTAAGGACTCATATGTACAAACATATTTAGGCATTTGTAAAACTTTTATTACAACAAAGACCTAACAACATTTTATAATTAACACTTTTATTGTAGCAAAAACCTAGATGTGAATATCAATTGGGGGAATATTTGAACAAACATATAGTGTATGTCTGACATAAAACACAGGGATATCATTCAGCTGTGGTCACAGATGCTGGTGACCTCTATTCTTTACCTAGCCATTGTGGTTTGCCTGGGTTCATCTGTGGGGAAACCTGATCTCTCCCCTAGGAGATGTTGTTGTCACACTTGTTGTCACATTCATTGGCCCATCATCCCTGCTCCAGAGTTCTGGGGAAAGTTGCTAATTATAATAACAATTATTATTCAAAATCCAAAGGGAAAATGAAAAAAAGAAAAAGAAAAAAAGGGATGCCTACTGCATAATATGAAGTGGGTATAAAAGGGATCATTTATTCTTACTAAGAAAGCAGCATTAAGCCTAGCAGAACAACAGCACACATAAACAGAACAATTTAAATAGGATTCTGTAATAGAATGTATAACTACAGATACAATTGACTTGAAAGGCTGATAGGTCTCAAAGCATAATATAGTTCTACAGGGGCAGCTAGGTGGTAATGGAACACTAAACTTGGAGAAAGGAAGAACTACGTTCAAATCCTGCTTTAGACACTTACTAGCTGGTCAAGTTACTTAACCTCTCAGACTCAGTTTCCTCATCATTAAAATGGAAATAATAATAATAGGTCCTCCTTTACCTACCTAAGGTTGTTGTGGGAATGAAATGAGATAGCATCTGTAAAGAGTTTTGCAAACCCTTAAGTTCTATATAAATGATAGTGATGATTTTTATTATGGGAGACTGCTAATCAGGGATTTCATATTTCCCCTCTGCACTGCCCACTGTCAGATCAAAGAACCAAGACCGACCTTCTTTCTGGTGACCTTTGTCTCATGTGGATACTTCCCTTGTGGTCAGTCTATCCTCGCAACTTCTCAGGTAGATGATACTGTTGTTGCTTGCAAACCTTTAGACCATTCACACTCATGAGGTTATCTATTCAAGGAGAGGAAATGCAAAAAAGTAAGGGGTTGCTTGAGACCCAGGCATAAGCACGTCTAGTTGTCGTACTAGCCCCAGCCGTTATTTGATAGGATAGATATGGCATCTGGAGTAGATAAAGGACTATGTCCTTCCCCATCCCTAACAGGAATCACATTTGCTCACCTAGAAAGTTCAGGCAAGAGAGCTCCAGATGGAAAGTGTATCCTTTTTTTAAGAGATCTTCTGAATCCTCAGTTCTTCCTGTTCAACAGCCAGTCATATATCCCCAAGTCTGGACCCCAAAGCTCCTTAATAGTTGATTGGAATGGTGACTGTGAATGATCCCGTGGTTGACGAGTCCCATTACATATGAATATGATAGTGTGTTATTATGTCATAATAGGGGATAGATATGAAGAATTCAGATTACCTTGAGAAAACCTGTATGAACTGATGGAGAGTGAAATGGCTTCAGGAAGACCAATCCTAAAATAACCTAATATTTGTCTGCATTTTACAAACACAGCAGTACACAAGCTGACTAGTCAAACTCATGACAAACTTTAGGATTTTTTGCTTCTAAGTCTGTTGGTACATGTAGCTTTACATGCAGCTTTTATGTGAAAAGTATTTTAGAACATCTAAGAGATGAACCCCAATGATCAATTGCTAGACAGAAGTTTGAAAGAAGAGAGAATTATTAAATCAGCCTACCCAGAATGCAAGGTTAAATATGAATATACCTTATGTTTCTTAGAGTAAGCTTTAAGGGTACATATTGGCCAGAAGAATTATTAAAAATTAATGAATAAGTCAGACCCTTGTGAATGTGTCTTTAAAAATATTTTCTTAGTTTCTTCACTAGAGGTCTGCCCTGATGGCTCATCATGCCATGAAAGTGACACTGGGTTCTCGAAGTATATGTTAAAAGAATTCAGAACAGCCATACATCCTGTCTTGGTCTCAGTTTCCTGATCTATAAAATGAGAGGGCTGGATTCAATCATCTCATCTGACTCTAAAATCCCATGATTCGAATTAATACATGTTTTTTGGAAAAATTGATTAATGAAGTGTCAAGTGACTTGCCCAAGGTCACATAGGTGACTGTTGGTGATAAAAGCAGAGCTAGCCCTCAAGACTCCTCACTTGCATGATGCTTTGATGTTCTCATCAGATCTTCGAGATTCACTTAAAAAAAGAGGTGACTTTGATCAGATAAGTTACTGAGTAATAAAATTGACTGCACTAATGCTTTTAGCTGAGAACTCTTTCTAGTACAGTCCAACACTTAGAAGAGATAGATATTAAATGCTATGTGAAGATTTGTAGTGCATTCAAAAGTGTGACATTTTCATAATGCATCTGTCAGATCTGTGGATAAGAGAAGAGTTTATGATTGAACAAAAGAAAGACAGTCATGAGAAGCATAATGGATAATTTTGATTACATAAAATGTAAAAGGTTTTGCACAAACACAACTAATGCAGGCAAAATTGGAAAGAAAAGAAGAAATAGAGAAAAAACAATTTTACAGCAGTTTCTCTGATAAAGGCCTCATTTCTCAAATGTAT